TACACTATTACAAATAAATTGCTTTTATTTTCAAATTACATTGCCACATCAAATTACTAGCTGCTATTAATGAAATAACTGTTTGTAATGTTATTGTAAATACTATTGATTGTTGATGAATTGATTGTTTGATTGATGATTGATTGAACCATTGACTGATCAATCTTTATTGCAGCTGGTAGATGTTACACCTTTAACTTTCAAGATCTGATGGTCAATTCTTTCCTTTAAGTGTAACACATTTCCATATAAATTAGTTATGTTTATAACAACAATATTAGGAAGAAGTTGCATGTTCATCACTTCTAGGAGTTAAAGGGTTAATTGAAGCGGGTCTTTCCTTGAACACACACTTGTGATAAAAAAAAATAAAACTGGTAATGGATTGGAATAGATGAAGATAAATGAGTTAATTTATTAAAATTTTAAAGTTAGTCTCACTCAAAGGACATACATTGCTTAGATTTCTCTAAAAATTAATTAAGTAATAAAACCCAGTTCAAACAGTCATGATAGATGATGATAGTTTCAACATTCATTCGCTATCATTGACTACAATATTTGTATTAAAATGGTTCAAGAAAGTTGATGATAGTTGAAAAAATCATGCAACAAGATGGCATACTTCTAAACAAATATTGTGCATGCTGAGGTCTGTAATTTTGTTGGCATCTTGAGATTTTAGTCAAGGAGTTGCAAATTGAAGATACTGAAGTCTACAAGGATATGATAAGAATAAATTCTGTGACATTGTGCAGAATTTTGGCAGCTACTTTAGTCATTTTACTATTTGCCATTTCGGTTTGAGCTTGCTTTTGGCTAAACTGCTGACCCAATAACTATCACTCACTATCATCCACTCGTTTGAATAGCAAAAACTATCAGCGACTATCATGTCGAATTTTAACATGTCCAAACTACATGATAGTTGATGATAGTCAATATTAGTCAATGATAGTTCATGTTCAAATGCGCGTCATAGTTTAAACTATCATCAGCTATCCTGACCGTTTGAACGGAGCTTAGGTAAGGGCATTTATTGTTACACTACCTAATGTACAAAATTCTGTTCAAATTGGAAATATCAGTCAAGATTATACCTTAAATATTTTGTCAATTAACTTTGGATTATTTTTAACCAAGGTCTAAGGTACCTTGCCAAGGGGAAATTTTTTCAGAAATTCCGCCGATTGGTTCGTCTCGCCAAACTTGAAGGATGGAAGAGTAACCTTCGCACCGCTGTACTCAGCAGCGATGAGGATTTTGTAGGCCCGAAAGTTGTCTGGGTAAGTGTACAAGGCCTGTAAAATTAAATAAAAATAACACGACAAGAGGAACTATTAATTTTCTCCACACAAACAACAAGTACTGGAATCATAAAAAACCAAGTGATTGCCATAAAGCAAAGAGGATTCTATCACTACACACTTACACCGGCAGCCATATCGTTATCGAAGAAAAAGAGGACAATCAGTAGGAGCTGGGTCCTACTTCAAAGACAAGCTTGGTAGCCGGGCCAAATGTTACATCGAGGTTTAAAATGGCGGACTAGAAAGATGTAGCGTGGAAATATTCCTAAGCTGTTAATTTCCCCGTGGAACCGGATCAATCATGCCTAACTGGTACTTTAGTAAAGAGGGGTTGTTACGAACGCCTTCCAGGCTTGATGGCATTGATTACATGACTGAAATACGCTACAGAAGAGAGGGAACCCGCTTCATTATGAACTGTGGGAATCGAATGAGGTTGTATCCTTATATTCTGTTTTCAAAAATGTACTCGTCAGAGTTTTCCCGTGAGACATTTTAGCGGTTCAGCCGCTGAATACCTTGCCATATCGACTACTTTTGTGAAGCTCACTATGTACATACAAATGTACATGTTGTGTAAATTCTCCAACCACTTAAATTTTTATTTTTCCTTTGTTTCACACTGTGGTTACAGAGATGAAACAGGTGAAAGAAATGAAAAAAAAAAAGGGTTATTTAGAGATTTTCCAACACTTCAGCAAAGCTGAAAAAAGCTGTAGTAAAATTGAAATATTTTGCATGTTTATTTGCACTTGTGATTAGTGGCTAAAATGCACAAATGTTTCATCTTGACTAAGTGAACTTTAGACGTTATGACACCATGGCTACAGGAGCAGTTTACTTTCATAGGTTCTACATGGTGCAGTCATTCAAGAACTTTCCACGATGGGTATGTTTGATTTAAGTGAACTGGAAATTCTTGAGAATTTACCCCCCCAATGAATTTAGTGTACACATTTACTTTTAACATATCTACTGCCACTTGAGGTTTTTTGTTTTGTCATTAAGACTCTTTATTTTAAATATTTTATTTTGGGTCTTTTTTAGGTTAGGGCTGTCCACTTGTTATTATTTTCCCAGACTCTCTTCTCCCACACCCCAAGGGGTAGAAACAAGAGAGATCCCATGGAGAAGCTTACTTGTTGACACAAACGTATTCCTCTGCTAACAACAGCGGTATTCTTGTTTCAAGCTCTCTCCTCATTTTGCAGTTACAACTGGCAATGACCAATGATAAAAAGAAATTTATTTATTTGTTTGTTTGTTTGTTTTACTTTTTTTCATATGTTAGGTTACCGGTGCAGCATGTTTATTTCTTGCTGGGAAGGTTGAAGAAACACCTAAGAAATGCCGTGATATTATTAAAACAGCCAAAAGCCTTTTGCATGATAATCAATTTGAAACATTTGGTGAGGATCCAAAGGTAACAGTCTTTAACCCTTTAACTTATAATAGTGATTAACATGAAACTTCTCCCCATAATATCCATACATTATTCAGCAAACAGATAGTGAGAATATTCAAACTTATCAGGTAGAAGCTGCTATCTTGATCCAGCACCAAGTTCTCATATCTAATTTACAAGGATATATATAGAAGCTAGAGGGGAGAATTAACAATCAGATCTTTGGAGTTAAAAGGTTAATACTGTTTTAGCTATGCCAGTGTTTCAGGATTTTAAAAGGTGTTACAGCTATCATGAACTAGTCCCTATTTAACCTTTTGACCTGGAGAGTGACTAGCATCTAATCTCTCCTTTCAATATCACACCTGAATCACCCATAAAGGTTATGAGACTAAAGGAAATGATCACCAACTGAAGAAGCTTTAGATTGTTAAACAAATTCTCCTTGTCAGCACCATAGGAAATTTATAGAAAATAGTATTGGTATAGAATAGTAGAGAGAATATTCATCCTGATGTTAGGGTGTAAAGGGTTAATTTTTGTAAAGGGTTAATTTTTGTATTAATATTAATAAAATGATCTTTGTCAAATAACCTGTTATTTTATAAGTCGAATCTGAGAATTTTTGGAAGGTGCAGCATTCTTAACCCTTTAACTCCCAGGAGTGACCAAGGCAGAATTTCTCTTTACAGTATCAATACAATATCAAGCATCGAAGTAATGAGAATAAAGTAAAATATCAATTAGGGGATTATTAGTTGATCCAATACCAAATTCTCCAAATTGACATCATTAAAATTGTATGGCAGACAGTAAGGAGAATTACTATTGAGATCATAGGAGTTAAAGGGTTACATCACTGTCAGCTGAGGGTGATATTACAGGTCAGATTAAGATTATAGTGAAACAAGTGCAAAGCTTGTTTTTCCTCAAAGTTGTATCAGAATATGATATGCAACTTCAGTGGATAAGTGTCACATTGTTTTCTGTATTTGCAGGAAGAAGTGATGATGTATGAAAGAGTTCTACTACAAACAATCAAGTTTGATTTACAAGTGGAACACCCATACCCAAGTCTGCTCAAGTTTGGCAAAGCACTAAAAGGTTCAGTCTGTTTTGAAATTTTTACTTTGTTCTTTTAGGATTATGAGTTATTTGCCTTTGTATACTGAATGGTATTTTTTTTACCAAGCATCTTCCAGAACAGATTTATAAGGGGAGAGATACTAATCTCTCACAGAGCCCTTCCCTAACCAGGAGCATATTAACCCTTTAACTCCCAAAATCTGTTTGTTACTTCTCCCTTCCAGCTGCTACATATTTTCTTGTAAATTAGTAATTAGAATTTGGTGCTAGATCAAGATAACAACTTCCACTTGATAAGTTTGAGTATTCTCATTGCCTGTTTGCTGGATAATGAGGTGATATCATAGGGAGTGATCTCTTATGAGAGTTTAGGGGTTAAATGGTTACCAGCAAGGGGAATTTAAATCTCTTGAAATGCTAGGAGTAGTTTGTAATGTACCGTAGTAAAAGCATCCAATCCAGGAGGAGTGGCAATTCTCCTTGTCGCTATATGTTATGGAACTGGGAATAAGCTCTGTTGTCATGGGCCTCTTTGGCTTGTGTGGTGCGTTTACCTCTTATGTTCTAATGGCAGCTAGAAGGGTTAATTATCAGACAGATCACATGAGAGAGAGAGAGAGAGAGAGAGAGGAATTTAATTAAGAAAAATCACTTAATCTTACCAGGTGACCGTGCAAAGATAAACAAGCTGGTTCAAATGGCTTGGACTTTCTTAAATGACAGGTTTGTTTTCTCACATGTAACCTTTTGGAACCGTGACCTAGTGATTCAAAGGGTAAAATCCACCATTCTCAAAGGTTTATTTAGAACTCTGTATGGGAGGTTTGTATTAAATATTTTGCTTTCTGTTTTGGGGAAAATTACTCCTTTCAATTCTGGCCAGGTGCACCAAGCTGCAGTTGGACAGAATTAATTTTAACAAGCAAGGCTATGGTGATGACTTTTTGAGATTTTTTTATTAAATTAAATATGATTGGTGTCATTGCTGCTATTCAAAACCTTTCAGCTTGTCTACTCCTCTGTGTTTGAGATACAAACCTGAAGTCATCTCAGTTGCCATGATAGCTTTAGCAGCAAAGTTTAACAATCATGACTTACAAGCCACCTCTAGTGCTCCTGGAAAAACATGGTACCACTCATTCACTAAGGGGGCTACAGAATCTGTGGTTGAAGGTGAGTTTTGACTGGTCCAAAGGAAATGGTAACACTGCAGTAAGTTTTGGGGGCTTCAAAGGTCATTTGGTGTTTTGAATCAGAATGCCCTCCTCTGGAAAGAGATGGATTTGAAATTTAGCCCAAAGCTTAAATATCTTATTTTATTGCAGGTAATTTAGTGTTAACATCTGAGTTGAAAATGTAAATTAGCCACCGCAAAGGGTAAAAAAGCTGATGTGTCGAGCGTTAGCCCTTCATCAGAGCGATTCATCAACCCTTCAGCTTCAGCCCTTCATCAATTGTTCTGATTGACAATTCAGCCCTTCATCAATCGCTCTGACGAAGGGCTAACACTTGAAACATCAGCTTTTTTCTTTACTGTGGCTAATTTACGTTTTCAACTCAGTTATTAACACTAAATTACCTGCTATACTCTCCCACAGACGCAGCACCACAGTTTCTTTAGAAACTTACCCCTTTATTATCTTATTTTATTGTTTGGCAAGAACAACCCTGGATTTCACAATATATTTTTTTCACCTCGTGAAGCTCTATATAATCTTCATTCAACATAGTATCTTGTATAGTGGTGTTCTTTTGTGAACAAACAATTTTGCATTAAATCTTTTGATTGCAGATATTTGTGATCTGATGCTGGAACTCTATGGTGGTGAAAAAAAGAAGGGGAAAACCGAAGCCAGTGATGAAGGAAGCTCATCAAACCATTCCAGTCCAATGATAAACCCCAGTCCACCAGCTGCCAAGAAGAGAGTGAGTTTTTCTTGTCAATAAATGATGAATAACAATTGGCGGCAAAATTGTTGACACATTGACCTTTTCAACCCCCTATGACTTCAATTTTATATCTTTTGCCTTTGTTAAGCTAATCCATTTGCCCCTTCTCCACCCCTCCCCCCCCCAAAAAATGCAGTGTTGTATGGTGATTCCAGGAACTTTTAGCCATGTACAGGCAACATTGAATCAG